AATTCTTGGGTAGAATAGTTTGTTTGTGGGTTGTGTGAAGGACCAGTCTAGTTGGGCCAGTGGGCTTGCTGCAGTGTTCTCTTTCTTATGAGTCACGCGTGAGGTATTGCTTTGTTGTGGGATGTGATAGTGAGGTGTGGTCTAGACCCTTTATATGCCTTCCTTTGTTTAAAGTCATATTCAGAAATAATCTCCCTTATGTAAACTTGGCATTTTGAATGGTATAATTTCAAACTTTTTTTTTTTTTAAGAAACTCTCATGTAGCTAACTGGGAAAGCATTAAAAATTAAATCTAGGTTGCTTTATATTAATAAACTTTATGAGTTTATTATGCAAAACCTTTTATTACATATTGTCAATTTGCTAGGCATTTTCCAAATATAAGGTTGTCCTCCTCCAAAAAAAAAAAAAAATACAGGTCAGCCATCACTAATCTGGCAATCAGTTATCCGGTTCCTTCAGTAATCTGGCACTAATTTTGGCTAGCATAATTTCAAATTTCATCATTATACTGACTCAAATTTCACATTATACTGACTCAAAAATTGTGCAGATGTTTGTAAATCCACAGCAGCAAGCCGTGGAGGAGAAAGCAGTGATGAAAATGAGGAAGATGTAGCAGAAAGAGTCTCTATTGATAAGTGTATTCTAACCTAACCACTCTGTAATCCAGCAAACTCGCTAATCTGGCACACTACAGGTCCCAATAATGCTGGATTAGTGATGGCTGACATGTACCAGTAGTCTATTACTGTACCTATTCCTGAAAATGAGATTTTATGTTATTTGAGAACTGATTAGCCATATTCTGATAGTGCACTTCAGATTATTTGTGTGAATACTTTTCAGTTTATCATAAATTGATTACAAACTCTGACTACTCCCTCTTTCCTCTGAACAAAGTATTGCTTATAGTGCAGTCTTTCCTAGCAATCACTCGCCTACATGTACTGTATATGACTTTTATTGTGCAGCACAAAATTAGTTATTATTTTGCTCACTGATAGCACTTACAGTTTAGTTGTTGTGGAGAGCAAGCTAGACAAGGGAGTGTTCTGGGTGTCACAGCATAGGCAGCCAGGGTAATCATATGAGTTGTGGGTAGTATGGGTGACATCAACATCTGAACTTCGGTAAACAATGCTTCAAAACACTATACAAGTAAAAATAATAAAAGCCATTTAAATTTTTTAAAAAGTTATTATTTATTTACCTGATTACTGTATTGTTTTAAGGCATTTTTTACTGTAATGTGATGTTATTATCTGCAATGCCTCATATACAGTATAAATAGATAAATATATTTGTATCTATACTGATTTGCTCTTTAATGACATTATGGATGTTTGCTGTATGTTCATCTTGACTCACTTCTGGCTGGCAGGAACTAAATAAGAGGACCTTCCAGCTAGAACCATAAGAAATGTATAATAAATGAATTTATGTATTATATCTTTTTCTTATCCTCTTTTTTAAGCTCACACATTTTATTCAAATATATACATTTTTTTTTTTTTTTCAACAAGTCGGCCGTCTCCCACCGAGGCAGGGTGACCCAAAAAAGAAAGAAAATTCCCAAAAAGAAAATGCATTCATCATTCAACACTCTCACCTCACTCACACATAATCACTGTTTTTGCAGAGGTGCTCAGAATACAACAGTTTAGAAGCATATATGTATAAAGATACACAACACACATACATACTGTATGATAATTTCTTGTTGTAGAAACAATATCCAGCATTTAGTAGAAATGACAAAGAAATATATAACTACAGTGATGTGTTGAACTTTCCCTTTTGTACATACATTCCTTGTACGCACTGCCTGCCAGTCGCTTGGCACTGTATGACACCCACACAAGTTAACTAAAGGGCGCCAGGGTATTTCAGGGTAGAGAACTTAATTTTTCTTTTTTACCTCAGTGGCTCTGCCACCAAGGCAGTGTGATCCCCATTATTCAATCAGTCACTATCTTTGCAGAAGTCTGCTGTCATCACAAATTCAGATTACCCTCTGACTGCAACATCCCAACATTCCCTGAATCCCTTCATAAATGTTACCTTGCTTACAATCCAAAAGCACATCCATTAACCCTTTCACTGTCCAGACCCTGGAAATACTGTTTTCCGTGTCCACTTAAAAAAAAAACGATTCTTCTGAAATTATAGGGAATCTTTTTCTGAAGGTAATGACACTAAAAGTAGGAAATTTGATGGAAACCTTATGGAATTATGCAGGCGCAAAGTTAGCGGTCAGAACGCAATTTATGCATCAGTGATGTCACTGACTTCGAGTCATATTTCAAGTCAATTTCATGGCTTCATTTGACCACATTTTGTTATTTCACTAGCATGCCTTCTGTTCTATTGACTGAGCACAAGAAATTGGCCATTCAACTATTACAACTAGTACCCTATCAAGCTCACAAAACAACATTTTCTCCATTCATTTATCATGTCCCCAGGCCTCTCCTATATATATATTTGCCTCCAGTTTTGAATTCAAAATCACACAAAAATAAAAGATTTACTCTATTTCCCGGCTAATAAAATATAGCTAGAAATGACTGGTTATGGTTTATGGCATCCCAATAATTTAATCAGATCTATTAAAATCCCATAAAACAAACTGAGGTGTGTAGAGGGGCCTTACAAGTCTTGAGGAAAATCGGCAAAAATCAAATATTTATGCTATTTTGAGCAAGAAGGCAAGCAGGCAGGGAGGAAGACAAGCAGGTTGGCAGGCAGGCAGGCAGGCAGGCAGGCAGGCAGGCAGGCAGGCAGGCAGGGAGGAAGACAAGCAGGCAGGCAGGCAGGGAGGAAGACAAGCAGGTTGGCAGGCAGGCAGGCAGGCAGGGAGGAAGACAAGCAGGCAGGCAGGCAGGCAGGCAGGGAGGAAGACAAGCAGGTTGGCAGGCAGGGAGGAAGACAAGCAGGTTGGCAGGCAGGCAGGCAGGCAGGCAGGCAGGCAGGCAGGGAGGAAGACAAGCAGGTTGGCAGGCAGGCAGGCAGGGAGGAAGACAAGCAGGTTGGCAGGCAGGCAGGCAGGCAGGGAGGAAGACAAGCAGGCAGGCAGGCAGGCAGGCAGGCAGGCAGGCAGGCAGGCAGGCAGGCAGGCAGGCAGGCAGGCAGGGAAGAAGGCAGGCAGGCAGGCAGGGAAGAAGGCAAGCAAGCAGGCAGATTGGTAAAGAATTGTAAATATAATATTTGCACTATTACTGTTCTTGTCTCCCACTGTCGACATCAGGTACGAGTATGGTCTCCCTCCCTCCCTCACTCCTTCACCCCTACCCACCAACTCCTCCCTCCCATTCCCAACATACCCTCCACCATCTTTCCATTTAAGACAAGCAAGCAGGCAGACCACAGCAGACAAGGCTAAACATGGCAGGTAGGGCAAGGAAGAGCAAGTAAGGTTGCAGGCAGGCAGGCAGATTGGTAAGGAACTGTAAATATTTACACTCATTATCACTGTCACCCACCATCACCATCTTGCACATGTATGGTCTCCCTCCTTCGCTGCCTCCATTATCACTCCATTTAAGACCTCTTTATCATCCTGTCTTGTCTCTGGGTTGAGGACCTCCTACACCCATCAACCATCATACATGTATCATATCTCAAATTTTTCATCACAACTCAACAATAAATTTCATGAGGGTAAGGCATAACTCAAAATTATCATAACTCCAGCCCATCATATTATTATTAAAAAGGATCACTATATGGTGATACCAACACTCTTAAATGAGTGTGAAGTATGGGTTATTAATGTTACAGTGAGGAGGAGGCTGGAGGCAGTGGAGATTTCAAGCCTGAGGGCAATGTTTGGTGTAAACATTATGAGGAGAATTTAGAGTTTGGAGAATAGGAGGTGTGGGGTTACTAAAATTATCCAGAGAGTTGAGGAGAGGCTATTGAGGTGGTTAGGACATTTAGAGATAGGGCAAAATAGGACGATTTTTAGGGTCTATAAATCTGCAATGGAAGGCAGGCAAGGTAGGGGTTGCCTTAGGAAAAGTTGGAGGGAAAGAGTTTAGGAGGTTTTGTATGCAAGAAGCTTGGGCATCAAACAGTAATTTGAGGCAAGTGGTTTTTATAGCTTGACATGCTGTTGGAATGTGAGCAAAGTAACATTTATGAAGGGATTCAAGGAAAACTGGTTAGCTGGACTTAGAGTTCTGGAGGTGGGAAGTACAGTGCCTACAATCTGAAGAAGAGGTGAGGATTCTGCAGTTTGGAGTAGCATCTGAACTGTAGTATTGGTGCATCTCTGGAAAGACAGTGACGGAGTGAGTGATGTGAAAGTGTTACTTCAATTTTGGTGGGAAATGGCTGATGCGTTAAAAAATAATAATAATAACAGATAATAAATACCAATAATAATGTTAATAATAATAATAATCAGTTTGTACAAAGCAAATACAAGCCCACTAAATATGCACAAAATACCAATGCATTTTGTAAAAATATTGATGACAAAATTTATTCTGAAATTCATCTATAACACAAATATGAGCTCAACTCACCAGCATAAAATAAACATATAACAAATAAATACATTTGATAAAAAAAAATAGCAGACAATGAATTAGAAAAAAACCTGATCTACCTTGCTGGTGGTGGTGTGTAGCAGTGACTCATCAGTCACTGCTGCTGGTGTGTAGCAGTGACTCATCAGTCACTGCTGCTGGTGTGTAGCAGTGACTCATCTGTAACTGCTGCTGGTGTGTAGCAGTGACTCATCAGTCACTGCTGCTGGTGTGTAGCAGTGACTCATCAGTCACTGCTGCTGGTGTGTAGCAGTGACTCATCAGTCACTGCTGCTGGTGTGTAGCAGTGACTCATCAGTCACTGCTGCTGGTGTGTAGCAGTGACTCATCAGTCACTGCTGCTGGTGTGTAGCAGTGACTCATCTGTAACTGCTGCTGGTGTGTAGCAGTGACTCATCAGTCACTGCTGCTGGTGTGTAGCAGTGACTCATCAGTCACTGCTGCTGGTGTGTAGCAGTGACTCATCAGTCACTGCTGCTGGTGTGTAGCAGTGACTCATCAGTCACTGCTGCTGGTGTGTAGCAGTGACTCATCAGTCACTGCTGCTGGTGTGTAGCAGTGACTCATCAGTCACTGCTGCTGGTGTGTAGCAGTGACTCATCAGTCACTGCTGCTGGTGTGTAGCAGTGACTCATTTGTAACTGCTGGTATGTAGCAGTGACTCATCTGTAACTCCTGGTGTGTAGCAGTGACTCATCTGTAACTGCTGGTATGCAGCAGTGACTCATCTGTAACTGCTGGTATGCAGCAGTGACTCATCTGTAACTGCTGGTATGCAGCAGTGACTCATCTGTAACTGCTGGTATGCAGCAGTGACTCAAGTCATCAGTCACTGCTTTTAACACACTACAGACTTATCACTGTGGCTCCTACACATACTTCTAATATTCCTGCACAAAATTTACTTTATTTCCACATAACAGACACTTCTACAAACGTGGATAAAATTCATCAGGACGCAAGTAAAGCCACTAGTTACTTCCAGCAAGCTAAAACCTGACATTACTAAGACATGACACAACACACAGGATCCATCATATTTGGAATGGTATAAATGGTACCCAAAGCTGGTTGGGGGATTTTTTCATATTTTTTGGTCAGGTTTTGGCTATTTTTACCACAATGAAAAATGAGAATGATGCAAGTAATCAATGTCTTGTTTGAAAGGTTGGGTAAGGAAACAATCACTGTAGAGTATAGGGTATATATAATGAATTCTGTGAGCAATAAGCTTACCCCTTCCTAAATTTAACCCATTATTACTGTATATCAAATAAGATATTCTTCCTTGCTCAAGGTATATACACCAAGATGTGTACCTCTCAGCATACACTATGGTATATACACGAAGTTTACTTTAATTGTAATTTTAGGAATTCTTGACAGTTACCTGTGGAGTAGAGTTACCACCCCCATGGCCTAGACCTACACCAGGTCTCCTGGTTGCTGACCTATCAGACTGCTGGCACCTGTCAACAGTTTGTAAATAGGTAAACTGAGGCCTTCTTTGTCATAGTGTTAGTCAACAGGCTTAACCAAATAAATCTTCCTTGCTGAACACTGAACTAAAAATTAATATTAATTACAGTAGCACTAATAGGTGAATAACACATGAAAAGATATATTAAAATATATATTGCTAATGTACAAAATATATATTACTTTTATTATAGCGTATGAATAATTAACCCAATGGTATCTCTGAATGCTGTGGCAAGAACATCACAATGAGAAATGATATCCCAGCTCTTGATCTTTAAATTAGAAGAAGGCAGTTATAGGATTCTTTCTAAGAGCTTACAGATTACATTACACATTCATTCAGCTCATTACACTTCCCCATATACTTCACACTTGAGTGTAGGAAATGTGCAACACACACATAGTTAACAACACTAACACCCATCTAGTTGAAGGAGAGTCTTCCAGTTACATTGTTCTGCCAGTCAGCGATGTTGCAACAAACATTTCCAACAAACTTGACAAAAACTTTGTTAAAATATCCACCAGCTCTTAAACTACTGTTAGAAACTTAGTGGAGAAACACAAGTGTGATACTGTCATTAGTGCAGGAGTATACATAGTACCATGTGGGGGATGTGACAAGATATATGTAGGGGAAACAGCAAGATCTCTGGATATTAGGATCCATGACCACAAGAACATCTGCAGCTGTGATGACTGTAAAAATGTGTGTGTCCAACATAGAGACAATGTTGGACATCTTATGAAGTTTAATGGGGCCAGGTTAGCCATTAAAGAAGATTTACGATGACAAAAGTGTATAAAGATGCTCCTCACTTTATGATGGTTCAACTTAAGATATTTCGACTTTACGGTGGTGCGGCAGCAATTAATGTTAGTTCTATGCTTCACAGGCCCAGTGTGTTTTCAGCTGACTACATTAACCCGTAAACGGTCCAAACGTATATATACGCTTTTTCAACATTTGAAAGTATGTAAAAAAAGTAGATCTTTTTGTTTTTCTACATTTGAAAATGTGTAATAAAACTTTGATCTACTTTTTTTTTTTGTTATATTTGAAAATATGTAAAAAAAACTTAGATCTACTTTTATAGCACTACACATGTGAACGTAGATCTGCTTGGACCGTTTACGGGTTAATGGTGAGTACCTGTACAACATATCACTACATGTACTGTACCTGTATCATCCTTGGGTAATCAAGTCAATTTACTATACGTATAACATTTTCTCTGTACTGTACTGTACTGTACATTTATTGATAAGATAAACTTGTATTCATTTATTTGCTTTTTAACAATGGTATTTAATGAGTTACAGTAATTATTTGTTTACTTATTCAGTGACAGTAGTTATTTATTTTCTTATTTATTTATCATATCATATATTCACATCAGACTTATGATATTGTCAACTCACACTGGGTTCACCGGGACGTTACCCCATCGTAAGTTGAGAAGCACTTGTAGAGGCTACCCTAATTGCAGCCAGTAACACAATCCATCGAAAGTATGGCAGCTACACTATATCCAAATTGTTGATTAAAAGGGTACTGTCCATTTTAAAGACTGCTGTAACATGATGTTGACAGGTCCTTCTCAAATCCTTTATAACTTTGATGAGTTTCAAGAGTCTTTGTACTCCCAAAGCCTAGCCATGGGCATCTCACCACAGTTGTGCTACTACTTCCACTACCACTATGACTATGACTACTACTACTACTACTACTACTACTACTACTACTACTACTACTACTACTACTACTACTACTACTACTGCTACTACCACCACCACCACCTACTACTACTACTACTACCACCACCACCACCTACTACTACTACTACTACCCTCTCATAACCTACCACCTAACTCCTGCCATGTACATACTCATTCTTAGTTATCTCTGAATTAGGACTGAAGAATCCACTTGTGGTGAAATGTGTCCTTTTATAAATGTTCTTAACTGTACATAAGAGTCTTTTTCCACATGAAGTAACCAACATGAAAAGAATATAGAAACAACTACTTAACACTAGTTATGAAATGACACTGGAAATACTAGTAGTAGTAGTTATAATATAAAATCTTAGATCCTTGGC